GTTTATCGCAGTCGAGCAGATGGCGAGGCGGGCCGTAATTTGCGTCGTACGTCGCTTTTCGGCCTCCATCACGGTTTGTAGCTCCGGGGGAAACTCCATAGCTGATGTCGATGCTGCGCCTTTTGAGGCTGGCACAGCATTTTTTCCGGCAGACGATTCTGCACGTTCGGTCGTCCTTTCCTTTCCTGGAGCTGCTTGCCTCGAGGGCCAGCTCGGTGGGTTTCGCGGTCTGTTGGCTGTTCGTTTCTGTTCTGATCAGATCAGAATCAGTCATCTCTTGGTCGGGAAGGATGAAAGACTTCCCTGGGACAAAGGCCTCACTCGCCAACAAGCTTGATAATTTTTGCGCGAGGCCAGGAGGTTTTGGACACATGTGTGTCCGTTCAAAGCCGACAGAAATGGTCGACTTTGGTCGTTTGCTCTTCATCGGAGGCATTTTGGGACGCCTTTCGATGGACATCAATTCGAGAACTCAAGCAGAGGAATAATCATGAGGAGGAAAAAACAGGGAATTTTCGAATTTCTCGAATTGTGCGTTTTTTTATACTTTTTTTTTATACATTCAGTCCTAAGCTAAAGCTATGTTTTCCCCATTGGGTCAAGGACCGGCGGATCCGGCAGGGTTCCCTGTAACTTTTCCTACAGCTTAACTAGTTCCAACCTCGTGAATCGCTACCAAAATGTAAAGGGGTTTAAAGAATTAAGAACTACTTGAAAGACGTTAACTCAATAGGAATTGATAATTTTTCCTTAGGAAGCTAATCTGCCTACGACGGTTCCTGTCCTTTGTGTCCTCCTCAGCGTCGCGTTTAAGCTCCTCTCCTAGCCTACCTGAGAATACTCCATTCTCCCCGGCTACCCTCTTTCCTGTGACATCCTCCCCCCCTTAGTACGTACTCCCTTGGGTCCTTCCTCATGCGCAACCTTGCAATCATCCTTATGCAACACTGAGACTCGTTCTTGTGCGCAACTTTGCATTAATCCTTATGCGGCACTTAGATCCCTCTTTGTGCGTATCCTTGCATTCTTCCCCATGCAACCTTTCGCGTCTCTGTAAGCGCTGCTTCGTTGGCGCTTAAAGATCTAGCCGGGTTGGTCCTAGTGACCAGTCCCAATCCGGGCACAGCCCGTAACACAAAAGTGCAGCTAATTGAACAAGAACGAAAAATCACAAAAATCAAAACAACTCCGAATACCAGAAGATTCCTCCATATTGGACCCAGTAAATGCGCTCCTCACACATTCCCTCGTCCGTCACAACTTCCAAGTGACAAAATTTATTCAATCTCCGCTGAGAGCAAGAGATGAGTTAGCAGGCACCTTTGATCCAGCCGGTATCCTGCTATTGGTTAGTAGATGCCCCAAAAGGGGACATCGTCGAGGTTGCTGTGTCCTCAAACTTCTTATTCAAATCCCAGAGCTCCGAAACCTGTTGCCTCGACCATTGCGACATCCTTCGCCGCGGCGATGATCGCCTCTTCGGCCTTTTTTGCTGCAGCCCTGGCTCGTGCCACCTTGGCGAACTCCCCTTGTTCGATGTGGCGAATCCACGCGAGCTGCTCTTTGGTCACCGGTCCGGATTTTTTGGGTCTGACTTGGCAGGCCCGAGAATCCGATCGGTGAGGCCCCCCACAGTTGCGACAGCGTGTGAGGGCCTTGCACTCTGTTTCGGAGTGCATATTTGATCCGCAGTTCCATCAAGCCGGAGCGCGGGAGCAACCACGAGTGGCGTGGAAGCCTAAACAGCGTTTGCACTGTTCAATTGATCGACGAGGCTTATGGATGGTAGCCATACCCGAATCGTCGAAAAGGCGGAAGCCCGCACGAGGGGCTTCGTCCCGGTGAAAAAGGGCATGCCAGTTTCGATAAGGCGATCCAGGCCGACATGTCCCATGAGGTTGAACCTGGATTGTATACGCGCTGGTCGTAAGGAAGATCTCAGAGGTGACACTTGCAGCATTGGTCGCTACGGGGCCGTACTGTGAAACGATACTTACAGGTACGTTCGGTATCTGTAAGGCGACAAGATCCGAAGATGCTTCGAGTTTGGCGTTTTCACTTGCCAGCTTTGGAGAGACATCTAGGATCTCTTGTCGTATTTTTTCGTTCTTTGCTATAATAGCAAAGCCGGTCTTTACTCGATGAATCAAGGTTATATCATTGTAAGAGAGATTAAGCGTGTCCGCTACCTTACTTTTCACGATGTGGTTTGAGAGATTCCGCCATTGGTGCTCCTTTTCCAGGCGAAGGAACAGTCGCTTATCGACTTTCGCCTTGGGAGCTTCTTTCTTTTGGGTTTTCGCCGCAAGTCGCGGCACAGCCTTTGCTATAGGAGCTGCATTTTGTCGCAGTCCATTTTTGGCCACCGTGGCCCAGGTGCTTTTTACAGGCAGCACTGGGACGGCGGGAGTTGTATTGCTCCTGGCTTCTGGAGCCCTTGGGGCCGGGTTCGCAGGGCGAGGAGGGAGGACGGGTGGCGTGATGGCCGGGCCCGTGGCCATGTATTGCGCAATGGCGGCGCGTAAGTAGACTCTCATCGAGCCTACTAATTGTCTATTTGACCCGTTGGTCAAAGGGAGGGAGGGTGGCTTCGATGCCAGAGATGGCGGCGGAACAGAGGGCCAGATTTGCAGCTGTTTCGGCGGCGCGTCGTTGTTCAGCTTCGACAATTGGTCGAAGCTCTAGGGGATACTCTGCTTTTGGCTGCAGCGTTTTCCGACGGTTTTGACGCTGTCGGAGGAGATTTTGACGATTCTCCAGTCCCGTGAGGGACGGAGGTTGTTTGGGAAAATTCCTCAACAATTTCAACTGACCCGATCATGTCAGTATCGGGCTCAGTGACGGCGGGGAGGGCTTTTTCCTTCACTTTGATTGAGACCATGCTCATCTCCGCGCATTTCGGAGACTGGGCAAGGTCAGGAAAATTTTCGAGAGCCCTTGGGCGGACTCTCGTGTTGTCCAACTTGGCGTTGGGACGCTTTTTACGAACGGGTGTCATGGTTAAGATGCCAGCGACCCAATGATAATTTATTGTTGGAATGCGACGAGCGCGAGAGGAATGGAGAGGAGGAAAGGGTGAAGATTAGAAAACTCGAATTCCCTCAAAAATTGTGCGTTTGTTTGTTTGCTTTGAACCCTTGTAAATAAGTTATAAAGTCAAGTAGCAAAAATGCATGAATGTTACGCGGCCGATCATTATACAAATAAGGTTTGGTACGAAGGAAAGACCCACTGCAAACAATTGTGTCCATATAAAAACTGCCATACAAAATTTTTCAAAATTTTTCAAATACGGGGGCCTTCTTCAATATGGAAGGTGACTATGCCTAAGGCGTCTTAGTTTACACGTTAAAGCCCCAGCCAAATCACCACTGCAAATTTGACGCTGTGGCACGACGTTATATTTTAATCTTCAAGCGCAGGATGATGAGATCCTGGCTTTCATTTGCTTTGTTGGGTTCAGTCAGACCCCTGTTAAGACGATCCTCGCTAAGACGATAATTTTTCCAGAACGGATTACGTTCCCATACATTTACCGAATACACGATTATCGTTCTTCAACCTATGAATATAGTCTTAACCAGGGTTTCTCTTGCTCTAATGGTTCTTAAAACTCCGCTAAAAAGTGAAATTCTGTGGAGCAACGATATTCTCTGCCTGATGATATTTTTCACGGCCCGGATTACGTCATATTAACAGGGGTCTGACTGTATGTTCAGGCGCCAACACGTCGGGTAGTTTTATTTAGACTCAGCTAACCGGCACGTGAGGAGTTCACGTGCTATGCGCGGGCACTACGTTAAGCATTATAAATAAATAATTATTACTCCGTACATGCAAATGCATGAGAGAATATCCCAACAGCGAAAAGAAATTAAAATGTAGAATACAGTATCTATTGTGCAGTATGCAGGAGAGTTGTTCATATTTGCAAGGAATGTCGATTATCGCAAGAAACGTGCCAAATTCCATCACATAACCTGTACAGTGTTCATATCCTCGATTATTACTTGAAAGATCATTAATTCATTACTCGTTATGAATAGCTTTTTATCTTAGTAGTCACCCGTAAAATTTAGTCATATTTTCCACACGACAGGTGAACGGCGAAAATCTGGAATGAAAAACCTACGATGGCTCCAACACAAACATGTGTAACGATTGATGATCAAGGGTTTGATATGGTCACCAACCATCCCCGCGTCAGTCGCACCGTCATTGTGGCCGACTCTTCGAAGACTTCGTCGACCAATACCGAGTAAGGAGGTGCCTTCCCTTTTCAATTTCTCCTGCAGAAGTCTAACCGTAGGGGGAGTTCACGAAATATTTAGAAATTCTTCAAATTTATGGTTGAATGAAGCGTCCTCAGCATTTAGGCGGGTCGGTTCAGAGAGTCAGAAAATCGGGGATTTTTGATTAAAACTTTTTCCCTAACTATAGCGGCTTACCGTCTTCATAGTTCTGTATGTAGACACCGCATAGGACGTTAATCTAGAGAAATAAATATTAATATGGTCTGTTCTTGGTCTGATAAATCGCTTCAATATTATCAAGAATCCAGTACGCGAACAACGACTTCAAGATTTGGGTGGAAGGTTCGATGGAAAAGGAGGCTGAATTCTACGCGTAAACACTCAACTGAATGACTATCAATAATGAGTAATATATCAATAATCTTTCAAGGAGGAAAATATGATATGAGCACTGTACCAGATGTGGCCTGGGCCAGATTAGAGCCCAAAAAGCTAGATTTTCTTTGCCTAACGTAGTACAAGTACCAACAAAGATACACACACACGGAAGACTCAATGAGTCGCTTATCGACGTGCATAGATAGTAAGAAACTGATAATCGGACACGGATGATTTATGGACAATCTTCTTCGCTTTGTGGAAAAATATATGAAGACTCGTAGATGGAAAACCTAATTCTCTAACAGTTCACTTCATGAGGTTTTCAATCACTCAAAAGATAAGATATCAATTCTTTAACGACACAAAATGGCAGACATAGCGCAAGCGCAAGAGCAGATTACTCAAGGCGCTTTGGAGTAAGCATTTTGTCTCTTCTGATTCTTTACTAACCAAGTGTAGTGCCATCTTCAACGATCCAGAGCGTCTGGAGATGAACTACCCTGTGCCAGTTTGCCAATGCGTACAGATCAAAACTCTCGCATCGAACCAGGAAAACGCACCAGAAAGATACCGTCTGGTGCTAAGCGATGTCTTCAATTTTGTGCAATGCATGCTTGCGACGCGTAAGTCTTTTGCCGCCGAAGGTATACTCAACTTAACGCGATATAGAGGCAAACCATGTTGTGCATGATGGAAAACTAAAAAGAGGCTCAATTGTGCGACTGAAGCAATTCCAAGCTAACTGTGTAAAAGGAAAAAGGTCTATTTACTTCAATGTCCATCCAATATCCAGCAGTTAATCCTGACATAACTAATAGAATATTAATAATACTTGACATAGAAGTTATTGAAAGCCTTGGGGAGTTTGATAAGATTGGAGAACCAGTCGCACTAACAGTCCGAGAAGAAGGAAATGTCAAACCTAGCAATTCGACGATTACTGGCGCTGGATTCTACGGAAAATCCTCTACGAATAACACAGAACCTTTAAAACAAGAGTCTAGTGCTCCACCGCGAAAAGTTCCTACAAGCTCTTCATCTCACACCAACATTTATCCGATTGAAGGACTGTCTCCCTATGCGCATAAATGGACAATAAAGGCACGTGTCACGAAAAAATCGGATATCCGAACATGGCAAAAACAGAGTAGCGAAGGGAAACTATTTAGTGTAAACCTCCTCGATGATAGCGGAGAGATTAAGGCAACAGGATTTAACGATCAGTGCGATCAACTCTATGAAATTTTCCAAGAAGGATCCGTCTACTACGTGTCTAGTCCATGCAAGGTTCAGCTTGCCAAAAAGCAATACTCTACCCTCTCAAATGACTACGAGCTCTTGTTCGACAAGGATACTGCCGTCGAAAAAGCAGAAGATCAAGAAAGTGCGCCACAAATACGATATAGTTTTAGTACCATAGCTGATATTCAAAACGTTGAAAAGGACTCTATCATTGATGTCATAGGAGTACTCAAAGACGTCTCTGAATGTACTCAAATCATTGGCAAAACAACCCAAAAATCTTTTGACAAGAGGGAGTTATCGATCGTTGATGACAGCTGCTACATGATTAGAATCACTATCTGGGGAAAGACAGCAATAACTTTCGATGCCAGTCCAGAGTCTGTTGTAGCTCTCAAGGGGTGTAAAGTCGGAGATTACGGGGGTCGAAGTTTAAGTTTACTAGCCGCTGGGTCACTCTGCGTTGATCCTGACATTGCGGAAGCTCATAAGCTCAAAGGCTGGTACGACTCACAAGGTCGCCGCGAGAACTTTGCGACGCACACGAGCTTGGTTGCTGCTGGAAGTGAAGGAGGGCGTCGAAGTGATCTTAAAACTATTTCCCAGATTCGAGACGAGAATCTTGGAATGTCAGAGAGCGGTGATTACTTCTCTTTGAAAGCTACTATTATCTATATTAAACAAGATAATCCATCGTATCCAGCCTGTCGGACAGAAGGCTGCAACAAGAAGGTCAATGATATGGGAGATGGGAGCTGGCGCTGTGAGAAATGTGATGTCAGTCATCCTTGCCCTGAGTATCGCTATATTTTGTCGCTAAATGTTACTGATCACACGGGCCTGCTTTGGTTGAACTGCTTTGACGATGTAGGCCGAATTTTAATGGGCATGGATGCGAACAAGTTAATGGAGCTCAGGGAAAATGACCCGCCAGCTTCAGAAAAGCTTTTCGAGATGGCTAACTGTAAAACTTTTACTTTCAAGGTACGAGCTAAAATGGATAGCTACCAGGATCAACAGCGGTATGTTTCCTTCAAATCTGTTTAATAACAATTGAATGATGAGTTACACTAGGATTCGCTACCAAATTATTAGCGCCACAGCTATTAACTACGTACAAGAGGCCAACAAACTATTTGAGATGATAAAATTGTACAGAATTGAATAATTTATCTTAATTTATCTCGGATATACGCCATAGCAGTTCCAGCTAGATCAAGAGAGAATGTGAGGAAAATCAGACTGATACGAAATTTATGCTTCGCTCTATAGTCCCCCAAGAAATGAACCTGGAAACAAGAGTTTTTGATACGTGTTTAATTTCTTTTTCCTGCAAACTGAAACTGTCAAGGCTGTCTAATTATTTTAATTTTACTTAAGTTTTCGGATTCATTCTTTACTAGTTTATTCTGGCTTTAGGCATGATAAAAACTTCGACAAATTTCCCACATCTCATCATAGCTCGCAAGACAACCAGGAATTTGATCCATCTAAATCCCCTGTGTCTGTTTATGAGTAGCACTATCGTACCCGTGAGTATTTTCTTAGTCAAACAGCTAGCCCTCGGCGTATACTCCTCTCTATCTTCATATAATTCTAGGACAGCTTCATACCAAGTGTGTGAGGTTGTTTTTTCTGATTTTCAACGTGCTAAACCAGTTACCTGAGCGGTTTTGTGCTCTTCCAGGTATTTAGACACGTGTGGGGCCATGTTGGAACAGGTTTGCTGCCGGACCTCGTCCAAAATTAATGAAAAGATCCACCTGAACTGTATAAAATGTATTCCACACATTACAAACCAAATGCCCTTTCTCCTTCCCCTACAAGTATTTTTGCGCGTCTTTACGCCTTTGTGATTTCCGCATACACTATTGTCTAGCCTCGACCACTTCACACCCGAGCCCTTGAATTAATGAATGAATATTTATTCGTGACGGGCACAAGCCTAGCACTCAGAGGGTGTAAAAAGGAGAAGGCTACTCCTCCACTGGCCATTAAATGCGAAGATGACTCATTTTAATGTTTGGGCTACTCATGTAGTAGATGCATTCGCTGATACCACTCGAGACCTTGGTGCTAGGGACTTTCACCCTTACTTTAAGCATTAATATGCACCAAAGGGATAACAGGAAGATTCTTTGGCTGCCCTAATATACCTTTGTCATCTTGTTTGTAGCCGCAGCACGAGATATGGCCTCCCAGTCCTCCCTTTCTCGAGTGAGGTAGGTGTCCAGCCTATTTGGACTTTAATTCGGAGAGATGACGACCAGGAAGCAGTCAACAACACCTTTTATCGTTGCCTGTATTTAGAATGTCGGTTGCACTATCTGAAATCGTTGCCTCGGCGCCTACAGACACTCTCAAGTCGAAAATACTCGAAAAATGTGCGTCCCAGCATGCACATTTGTGACCTCTTCACTCGTTTGTCCAACCTCCCAACTGCCTGTCATCCTTCAAGATGTAAAGCACCATTAGAGCAACAGTCCCCCATAGACCAAGATTCAAACTCTGTATTAAAATATGATTCCTCTGGACGGGTAATATAGTAGTACTGTTACTGGAATATTTGGAAGTAATTTTGATAAAGTATAGGGTTAAATCGTTGCGTGTGTCTTCGTCTCTACGTCTACGCGCTTAATAGAAGTATTGCGATCTCGCACCCTCTAATCTATCGCTCCTAGTCTCATCCACACGCTAATATGAAACTACTAATACAGGGTATATAAAATCAACAGACGCCTTACCCTTTTTAACTCCTCGGCAACCAATAACCACAACCCTAACTCCATTATGTTAAATTGTAGGGATGATTATGTTTGACCAACCCTTCTTATAATTTAACACTCTGCATATTATGGTTTAGTTTTCTCCTCGCGGGAAGACATAGCATCGTAACTTTGAACAGAGACATGGCCGACTTTTGATGAGGCAATTTCCCGGTTGCAATTGGAGTAACGCCATTATCGGCAGTTGAGACCAGGTGGTGTAGTAAAATTGGGATTGAGGACTCGGGTGAGATTGGTAGGTCCGACGTTTACGAGAAGTCATCGATTTTAGATGTGCTTGGAGTTGTTTTCGACTTCGATTCAGATGCGATTCTTCTTCGCTATCCCAGATATGCCGAACATACTGAGCAATTACACCGGCACCACTGGGAAGTAAAGAGCTCGTCTTTCCTGACGCACCCGAATCTTTATTTTTATCTCTGTTAGAAATAAGAATAATTGGGGCTATCAAGTAAGCCACGTTGTTGATAAACTTGTGACTACAAATTCTGTACTTAGTTTCACTTCGGTAATTACTTGAATCAATGCGTTCTACAACCTCAATGACTTAGGGGTCATTATTTCCGTGATAATTTATTTAAATTAATTAAGGTCGTGCCCGCGCACAGTACGTGAAATCTTCACGTACCGGTCAGCCAAGTCTAAATAAACTACCCGACGTCCTGCCCCTATCTCTAACAATCTTCGGAACAAAGAAAGTTATTATCTCACGATACAATCCCTCTTTGGTCGACTCACTCGGAGTCGGTCCCGCCTTTGCGGCGGAGATAAACATCCAACGCCGGGAATTCCCTGAATTATAGGCTCTCCTGAGGGACTCACGGCTTTTAGTAAATGGCTTCATGATACCTGCTTTTTCACAGAAACTCAACGACGGCACTAGCTAGACCTCTAACCTTTTGGTACTCAACCTACATTCGCTATGGCTCAGATTGAAAGACTGTTGGACTAGGTGATGGATAGATTTGCTTTTAATATAGACAATTATCTTCTTTACTGTATTGGAAAATAAAAATCTCAGCGGGAGAGGACTTATGTCTTCTTTTGATAGGGCGGGGTGCACGACAGGCTGGCCTCGGCCTATTTATTACATTTCAGGCTTATTTAGAAGCGTCGGCACGTCGGGTAGTTTATACAGACTGAGCTGGCCTAAATGAAACCTTACGGATGTTTGTTTGTTTTGTTTTGTTTATTTTGTCCTAAGCTAAAGCTATTTTTTCCACATTGGGTCAAGGACAGGTGGAGCCGGTAAGGATCACTGTATACAGGCCCAACTCATTCCAACCGCGTGAACTTCCACATAAATGGTGGTGTTAACAGCAAAACAAAAATCAAAAATTGAAATCAAAAACATAAATCAAATTTAGAAGAAATCTCTGTAGGTCTGGATCCCGCGCTTCTCGCCCGTTCCCTTTCCTGTCACATCTTTCAAGTGACACTTTCTGACCTTCGCTGAGAGTAGAAGATGAGCTCGCAGGCACCCTTTTTCCATCTGGTGTCCTACTGTTAGTATGTTGAAGCCTCGACGACTTCACTGAGGCTGGCCGCAACCTTAAACCTCCTCTTCGGATGCCAGAATCCCAAAACCCGATCCGTCTGACATATCGACGTCATTCTTCACGCCGTGAATCGCCTGAATGGCTATTTCGGCTGCAGCTCTGATGCGAGTAAAATCTGCGTGATTTTTCTGCTCGATCTTGCGAATCATCGCAAGCTGTTTTTTTTCACCGGGCCGAACTTGCTGGGCCTGGCTTTGCAATACCGCGAGTCCGATCGATGAGGTCCCCCACTGTTTCGACACCGTGTGGGGGCTTTGCACTCCGTTTCAGAATGCATTTTTGATCCGCAGTTCCAGCAAGCCGGAGCGCGGGAGCAACCGCGTGAGGCATGGAAGCCAAGACATCAACTACACTGAACTATTTTTCGACGAGGTTGGAAGAGCTTTGCAGCTCCAGAGTCATCGAAGAGGCGAAATCCAGGTCGGGGCGTGGATTCGCGAGGGAAGAGCGCTTGCCAGTTCTGGTATGGCGCCCCAGGTTTGCAGGTCCCGTGAGGACGAACAAGAAAAAAAACTGATTTGGTCACTTGCGTGACTTGATTGGCGACCATCTTTTCCGTGATGAAAACGGAACCTGTGAGTGTATTAATTCTCAGCGGGACTGTGGCAATTAGTAGGGCAACCAGATTTGACGCTGGTTCCAGTTTAATTCCCGATTCTTTCCGTTCTACGGAGGAATCAAGGAGCTCTTTTCGAGCGAGTTCATCCTTTGCTGTTAGCGTAAAGCCTGTTTTGACCCGCTGAACCAACGTGATGTTGTTAGCCGCGGTACCGAGTGCCTCTGAGACAGCTGATCTTACGCCAGCTGGTGCGAGGAGTCGGTGGGGATGGTCGTAATCGAGGCGTAGAAACAGTCGCGTATCGACCACTGTCCTCGTATTGGCTCCCTTTGCTTTTGGAGCGGGCGGGGCTGCCCTTTTTGTTGATGGCCCAGTGCTGTGGCCAAGGCTTGCTCGGGCTAAATTTGCCCAAGTTGTCTTTTGGGCCGGAGCCTGGGTTGTCGTAGGGTTAGGTATCCTAATTTCATGAGCCCTCGGCGGAGGAGGGTTGCTGGGGCGCACAGGGAGAGCTGGTAGAGTGCTCCCTGGGCCTGATTGTATGAACTGGCCAATGGCCGCTCGAAGGTAGACTTTGATACCGTCTGCAAACTCTTTTCCTTCGCCAATCGAGAGAGGCGAAAGTGCTGCTTCAACACTGCTTATTGCGGTGGAACAGATTGATAGACGTGCTTTTATTTGCGTCGTGCGACGCTTCTCTGCTTCCATCACTGATTGCAGCTCCGGAGAATGTTCCGGTGCTGATGTCGAAGCTGTGCCTTTTGGACTTGGCACAGTGAATTTTCTCGCAGAAGTTTCTGCTTGTTCTGTCGTCTTCTCTCGGACGACTTCCTTTCCTTTCCTTGAAGTGCTTGCCTCCGGGGCAAGCTCGATGGGAATTTCGGTCTTGGGACCAATTTTCTCTGACCTGACGGGCTCAGAATCAGTCATCTCTTTATCGGGAAGGTTGAGAAACACTCTTAGGTATACACAGGTCTGCTGCGCCCGGCTGGCCGGCCTCTTCGTCGTATGAGAGCCCCACACCCAGTGGTTTTTGAGACTTTTCCCTGCAGCTACACACCCGCAAATAGACATTGTTTCGTTGGCTGGAGAGAGAAGATAACGAAGGGATAACGGCTCCTCTTAGTTTGTACTCGAATGAAGACCTGTGGGGGTCTTACTGCTGGAAAGAAGTCGTGAAGGAGGCATAGGAGGGAGTACACTAGCCGAAGCATAGATACTCCCGGCCTGTAGGTAGAAAGGACCTACATATTCTTACAAAGTCATAGACTTAATAGGATAATAAACACACATACAAATAATAATAATAAAAAAACAAGCAAACAACCGCAAGATTCGAAAATTCGAAAATTCCTTTTTACTCTCTTACCACCCCTCTCATTCCCCTCGTATCCATCTCTGAATTATGATCGAGCTCAGGCATTTTCACCATGCCTCCAGTTCGCAAAAAGCGTCCCAATGCCAAGTTGGACATCACAAGAGTCCGCCCGAGGGCTCTCGAACAAGTAACTGGCTTTGCCCAGTCTCCGAAGTGCGGGGAGATGAGCAAGGCCTCAACTAAAGGGAAGGAAAAAGCCCTCCCCGCCGTCACTGAGCCCGATACTGACATGATCGGGTCAGTTGAAATTGTTGAGGAAATTCCTCAACCATCCTCCGTCCCACACGGTATTAGAGAATCGTCAAAATCTCCTCCGACCGCGCCAAAACTGTCGGAAAACGCTGCATCTAAACCAGCGTCAACATCAACGTCGGAGCCAAAAGCTGCCACAAAAGCAGACTGCCCTCCAGAGCTTCGACCAATTATCGAGGCCGAACAACGACGCGCCACCGAAATAGCGGCAAATCTAACACCCTGTTCCGCCGCCATCTTTGGCGTCGAAGCCACCCTCCTCCCTTTGACCAACGGGTCAAATAGACAATTCGTAGACTCCATAAGAGTCTACCAACGTGCCGCCATTGCGCAATACATGGCTACGGGCCCGGCCTTCACGCCACCCGTCCTCCCTCCTCGCCCGGCGAACCCGACCCCAAGGGCTCCCGAAGCCAGGAGCAATACAACTCCCGCCGTCCCAGTGCTGCCTGTAAAAAGCACCTGGGCCACGGTGGCCAGAAACGGACTGCGACAGAAGGCAGTCCCTGTAGTAAAGGCCGTGCCGCAACCTGCGGCCAAGACCACAAAGAAAGATGTCCTGAAGGCGAAAGTCGACAAACGACTCTTCGTTGGCCTCGGCAGCGATCACCCGTGGCGCAAGCTCTCACCTTGCGCTGTACGGGAAAAATTACATGAGGGGCTGCAGTGCGCCGTAGGTCACGCCAGCTCTCTACACCGAGTTAGAACCGGCTTTGCGATTCTAACAAGAGATGAAAACATCATGGAAAGGCCCCTAGATGCTGCACCGAAATTGTCAAATTTCAACGCCGAGCTCGATAAAGCCTCCAACCATATTGCCTTTCGAATGCTGAATGTTCCCGCAACTATAAAAGCACTTGACGGTATTAGTACGGTCGATTCTGGGTATGTCTTAACCGAGATATATCATCAAATTAGAAAGGTGGCAATGTATGTGCGTCCGCACGGGACATGCCGTCCTGGTGCGCCTTACAGAAATTGGCAAGCCTTTTTTCTCCGGGACTCCGCCCCTCGTGCGGGCCTGCGCATTCTCGACGAGTCTGGAGCGGCTACAAAGGTCCAGCCTCGTCGACCAATCGAACATTGTAAACGCTGTTTGGGCTTCCACGCCACTCGTGGTTGCTCCCGCGCTCCAGCCTGCTTGAACTGCGGCTCTAACATGCACTCGGAAGCCGAGTGTAAGGCCCTCACGAAGTGTCGCAACTGTGGGGGACCCCACCGATCGGATTCTCGGGACTGCAAAGTCAGACCCAGAAAGTCTGGACCTATGACAAAAGAGCAGCTCGCGTGGATACGCCATCTCGAGCAAGGGAAGTTCGTGGAGGCGGCTCGAGCTAGTGCCGCAGCCAAAAAGGCCGAAGACGCGATCGTCGCCGCGGCGAAGGATGTCGCAATGGTCGAGGCAACAGGTTTCGGAGTGCTGGGATCTGAAGAAGAGGCCTGAGGGAACAGCAACCTCGACGATGTCCCCTTCTGGGGCATCTACTAACTATTAGCAGGATACCGGCTGGATCAAAGGTGCCTGCTAACCCATCTTTTGCTCTCAGCGGAGAATGGGCAAATTTGTCATCTGAAAGGTGTGACGGGCGAGGAAATTTGTGATGAGCACATTGGTTGGGTCCAATATGGAGGAATCTTCTGGTTTTTGGAGTTGTTTTGATTTTCTTGATTTTTAGTTTCTGTTCAATCAGCTGCACTTTTAGCAGCGATTCACGAGGTTGGAACGAGTAAGGCTGTAGGAAAGATAACAGGTAACCCTACCGGATCCGCCGGTCCTTGACTCATTGTGGATAAAATAGCTTTAGCTTAGGGTCTATGTTAAATAAAATAAAAAATAATGGATGTCGCTTATGATCAACCTGTAAGTCACATGACGCACAATTATTCTGCTTGGTTCTATTATTGATGCTAGCGCAGGAATGAAGTATAAGTAACTAGTGAGTTGCACTATGGGATAGATTGAGCAACATTTCTTCAATATATTCCCACGCGTAATTTGTCCTCACGTATCTCTGGTCTTCTTGTGACTCCGATCCAACGAGCTCCACCCGTGATATCTCTCCTGCTTCATCTCCAATTACACTTACTGCAATGCACACAACATCATTACGCAGAATCGACCGAATTAACAAACTCTTTGAATACACAGCACGAAAACCCCCCACTTCAATACTTGATGAATTCAGGGAGATGGTCAACACAAATTACGAATAGATGAAATCAATCGCGGATCTAACCCTAAAATTATGCCTGTACACCACCAAGTTCAAGGAAAACAACGCCATTCCAAAGCTTGATGATCAGCTCCTCGAAATGTTACGTAATGTGAAGCACAACAATATTATTGTATCCGAATCCGACTTCATGACCAACCCAGCCAAAAGTTTTGCCAGTAATCACCTCATCTAGTCAGATATCATCTCTCTCGCCGATTTCCTCACTTGTTAACTATCATCAGCCACAAAGAACCCACAAACTTCAGCGTAGCAAAAAAAAAAGCTCGTATGTCAATTTGACGCAGGATATCGCGGAACCAGCAGAATGCGATAAAAAGTGCACCCTTCATGGAGGCTCTAAAAGCTATGTTGTTAGTGAACATTAATAAATCCGTTGAAGACTTTTGGAGGGTTCATTTTGATAATATGGCTTTCTCTTCCCTATTAATACGCATTTGGGAAAGCTATGGGGACGACGAGCTGTGTGGCGACAACAACTTTTTCTCTGATCAGATGGACGAAGCAGTCTTGTGATGCTTGTTCTATACATTGTATAGCCGATATATCAGTCAGCTGCTTGAGGACACGTAGGAGCTGAGGATTTCGTTGAATTGGTCCATTTTGCTTGGTGGTGATGTGTACATTGCAGTAAGTGTAATTGGAGATGAAACAGGAGAGATATCACGGGTGGAGCTCGTTGGAACGGAGTCACAGCAAGACCAGAGATACGTGAGGACGAAGTACGTGTGGGAATATATTTATGATATGATGCTCAAACCATCCTGTGGTGCAACTTGTTAGTTACCTATACTTAGTTACTGCACTTGCATCAATAATAGAACCAAGCAGAATAATTGTGCGTTATGTGACTAACAGGTCGATCATAAACGAGATCCATAGGTACTACGGCTCCTGACGGACATTCAGCCTTCGAGCTCCAGCCGTCACAATCTAGTCAATAGTTCCACGCAATGCTAATCTGTTGGGCTTGTTTGTAGTGATCTCCGTCGGCTCCACTGGTTCAGCACCTGAAGTTGACTTGGAGCATTAGATTAGAGCTTAGCGAGCAGGACAGCTGTAGTGTCCACAAGCATACGCCATATGCTAAGCTCAAAAGCATCGCGCAGTTAGCCCGTGTTTCAATGGAGGTCCGGGCTAGTCGTAAATTCTGTTCTAGACTTGACGGGGCGGTAATTTAACCGTGGCGAATACTAGGAGGGAGACAGATTGCTGAAAGTAAGGCATGGGTATCCAGAAATTATCGTTGACGGCGCCGGAGACGTGCTCACTTTGGTACGCCGGATGGATCGAGTCATCTCATGATGCCTGCTAACCAGACTCGAGGGAATTCGAGAAGCTACCCAGAAACTCCGAGCTATTTGACTTCTGAAGCACATGCAAGGCATTGGACAGCACCCTGGAATCCGATATATTGAAATTCTTAATAAATACACAGAGCTCTTTTTGAAAATTTTCTCGTTTGCGCTTTGGAAAGTGCGCGTATTTTAGGGGTGGGAATATTATGAGACTTTGATTTGAGGGCAGATATGGAGAGCTGCGTGTCGATTTGGCGACATCTAAAACCCGAATCAAGATCGATACGCTAACTACTGCGTCGCTGGAGTTCGGATTGGCGATACTGGTAGGAGTTTACAGACCCAGCAGGCTGTGGGCATGTGATGATAAAACTATTTAAGGATAGGCACGTGATTAGAATGAGCTAATCATGCCGATATGGAGAGCAGCTTAGAGGGAGACTGTGCTGTACTGAAAATCAAAAATCGCAGTGGGAGAGTACTTCTGTCGTCTTGGGAAAGTTCAGTGTGGCGCGACAGGCTGGCTTTGGCCCATTTATTACACGTCAGGTGGTGTAGATAGACTGAGCTGGCACAACGTTAAATTAAATAAGAAGCAGACAGCTCGGATAGAGGTATTTAGCGCTCTATTTCAGGGAGAGAGAATATGTGAACCTTATTCTTAGTTGTACAGGCATAGAGGCAGATAGGTGATGCACAAGCTGCTGCCATCATGAGGCCATGATGTGGAAACCACGTTCACCTAGTGACATGATAGGCAAACTTTAGTTGTATGTAGTACTTGGCTGGGATGGATAAGCCCGGGGTATCCCAAAATAAACGATTGGTGATAGGACGGCCTGGACCGGCATATTACTCCGGATCAGCTTTCAAGAAAGTTTGACAGAGCTGAGCCCGTCGAAAAGATTACAGTCTGAATACAAAGTGGCGGGATAATCGATCCAGCTACGTGATGTATCCCTGGCCTCGTCCCTTGTGGCCATGTTTAGGACTCTCGCCCCAACTCATTCGTTTCCGTCACAGTCAATCTTAGATTTTGGCCGAGTTAAGTCTCCCTTTTCTAAGAACATTCATGCAGTTTCTTGTAACTATGCGGCAATTCACAGTATGATGTTTTGCTTTCAATGAACACGTCTCTCATTCCAGAGACATCATCTGATTGACAAGCATCACGAAGTAGGAAATCGACCGGAGTCTATGATGAGAAGGGTCAGCTAACCTGGATTTTGGCGGGAAGACACTGCCTCAATTACTAAAGAGGCTAAATCTATGCAAGCAATTTCCACGAGGTGAGGGAACTTTTGCACGTCGACATTGTAGGAATCACGGATTTGCAGATGAATCGTCGACAGCCGGCATAAGATTCAACGCAATGAGGATTTGTCCTTTTAAACTGATCTTGGCGTTGATATATGGGGGTAGGTACATACCCGAACAAGATGTAACATACTTCCAGCCCGACTCGGATTATCCAAAAAGACCTTCTAAAGCCTCGCTTGGATCCGTGCATCAAAAATACTTGAAAAATTCCTGGTCGAGTTAGTGAATAGGATGTACTACTTTCTTCTAGTCTTCAGCACATATCTTCTAACACGATATGAGCTTACTATATGCTGATGGGAAAATTCCTATGCAAATACTATAGTAAAGAAAGTGACTACTTCCCGCAAGAGACAAAATGGACACCTATTAGGAACTTCTTCGCTATTTGGGTTTGAATAAGAATTCAAGCGAGAGATTTTTTCTTAAAGTTGATTGGTGGAGACGCTTGATGTCTCCACTCGTTCGATAAGGTGTAGCCAAACAGAATATGTATCGGGAATTACTTGGCACTAGATGAGCTTTTCTTCAGTCGAGAAGCATTAGATTCTAATTCTCCATATTATATAACATGTGCGCTTTATTCGAGCAAAACTTTGTAGGACTAATTGACAAGTTCTCGTATCCCACGGCAACCACTGGTATCGTAGCTTCGATGAAAGTATGTTTGAGATGTATGTTGTTATTTATGCGACAGTGGAGTTAAGAGTATACTGCATACCAGCTATATATTCAGCTGCGTGTGGATACTTGCTCTCGAAATCAGATTCCTTATAATATAAATATATATATAATTTATTGTGTGTGTTATAACTACAACTATTGGTCCACTTCTTTTTGTTCTTACAATTATCTACACACTTTACAATTACGGAAAGTGTGGAATTCTAAGCGAGACACGTGATACAATTACAGATTTATCGCATGACTTTCAACAATATATATTATGAGCCACAATTGATCCAAATTATGCCGTCAACCCAAGACCAATAAATACTATTGGTGAGAAAATGGTGTCGACTAGCACGTCATTGTGACTCTAACTTTGATATTTTGGTGGGGTCTGAGTCATTAATTTATCTCCTAAAGCTGTCATTGTTACTTAGAACTTTATTCATTGTATCTGCTTTATGGCTTATTTACCAGTTTAACAAGATTCTGTTTTATAGACATAAATATATACTATTGAGCGATAAGTTACGTTATTCTTTATTACCTACGATCAGCGTGTATCTATCTGATGCTATACTTTCTTGAACAAATATAGATTTGTTGAGCCACATAAGCATACTTTCATCGTTTGAAGCTTCAAATGATTTTCAATAATAAGGCTTGAGTTTAAGGTATCTTCACCGCTTCAAAAGCGAGAAGTCATACATTTTTTACTTCGAATCTGGACAGGGACATATCCCTAAAGTTACAAGTAGATAACCAATTACTATTGGATAGCAGATAGACGCAGTGTCTGTATTACCATCAATTATAGATATTTATCATACCTGTATCTCTCTTGTTCTGATTTTCTAGTCGCTTTGAGCTCCTATTATAACGGTTTGATCCCTTATTTTAAATGAATATTTACTTTAAAATTTTCCAGCCATACCAAGTAAGAAAATATTTATGGTCGCAAGTGTCTCCGCTTCTATGTTTAAGGATGATATCGTGTAGCTATGCTTATGACTGTGATTTATTGACCACTGGTATGAGTAAAGAGTTTGCATTTGATAGCATTTCGTTGAGATGATTGATAAGATGTGCTATTATATTAAATCATCATCGCATTTATTGTCAGTATCTACTAGTATATCTGCGTTCATTTGGTATTTTCAGCTTTCATGGTAATTTTTAATCCCCCCATGTCTGATCCAGGCGAGTTAGTCCAATGAGATCAGGAATAAGGCGATTTTCTCTTTCTTGGTAAAATCTTCTCCTGGATTCTTGGATTCCTTAGAGGAACAAGTCCGATATTGAGTCATTCTAGGAACTGCCGGGGCTAAAAATCCAACCAAATGAGTGACTAGAATAGGCTATGTGCAGCCTCCGTTTAACCGGGCGTATTATCTCTCAGAATTTCAATACTTTAGATACATCAGAGCGATCAACTGGTAGGTGAATCAGAGATTCTCCGAATCATTAAGCTTTCGCCACGGATTTTTATATTTCCTATTGTGAGCTTCTTTCTGTCTATAGTATGGCGTGAGAAATAAATCTTTGCCTAGATTAATAATGGCAACCTTATTGTAGAATCTTGGTCTTCCATAATCTTCTGTAATCAAGACTTCCATCGTTATCCTCAAGTTCAAATGAGACACGACCCGAGACCAAGCTATTTTATGCCAGATCCGCTCTGCCATGAAACATTCGCGTATAGAGACAGATGCTTTTCGTATCGGCGATTCTAGAATGGCTGTAAGAGAATACGCATCGCCTCTTAAGTTTTCGGACTGATAAAGTACGTGGCAAGCTCGCTGGGTATTAAGGGATGATGTTATCCCGGCTACATTTTTCGTGGCCTGTTTTTTTCGTGGCCTGTTGGGAGAGGAGTTGTTAATAATTTGTAAGTAACATTTAGATATTGCTTTCGTTGTGAGAAAGACATGAACCTCATTTTTACTCGTCATGGCCGATTCCTCGCAAAACATGGGCAGGATTACCCCTGGCAACTGTGTACGGGGGTATATCCTAGAGCACGTTAGCCAGCTACGTTAATCCCATAAGTCATTAAGATAGAAGAAAAATTAAACTCACTCTGGAAACTACGGAGCCAGCTCCAACAGTGGCACCTTTGCCTATCGTACGCCCAGGTAATATTATGACACCACCTCCGATCCAACAATCGCTCTCAATTATAACCTTCCGGCCAAGATGAGGACCTTTCGACCCAAGCCTCTTTTTAGGATCAATAGGCAGCATTGCCGTATAAATATTAACATTAGGACCTATGTGACATCGATCCCCTATCTGAACTTCACAAGTGTCAAGAATGGTACAGTTCTTCCCAATTGCTACATCTTGACCAATACTGATATTGTAGCCATAATCACAAGTGAACGGTGCCTCTACGACTACATTATCACCCACACGGCCTACAGGATTTATGAACGAAGCCTGAGGCGAGCCTAGATTCTCCTGAGGCTGTAAAATATCACGGAACAATCTCGCCCGTTCTTCAGAAGACACGCCATTGTTGGGATTTGTGCTGGTGTTGAATCTCCAGCACGCCCCACTACAACTTTCCCGCTCAAGGACTAGCTGCTTGTCAAAGGGAAAATAATGTCGACCAGCGAGCATCTCTTCTTTTTGAGAACGTGGTCGGTTGGTGGCAGCAAGATTAGATAAGGCAAGTTGAGCAGCCACTTGTGGATTGGTAGTGTGTGAATTGTCAACGTGCATTTGTGGGTGTAGTAGCTGTGGTAAATTAGGGGACACGAGGTGTGACGTATTGGCATCAGCATCTAGCCTGGACTCTTGACGCATGACGTCATGAAGAGGAATAGTGTGCTCGTATATGTTCTTGGGATGCCGATCAGGAAAATTAGTGCTCGTAGCAGTTACAGGGGTTGGGGATTGTTGGGCGTAAGAAATAGCCGGTAGTCGATTCGTATCCGGACTGGCCACAGAATTGACAGCTCCACTCAAAATACTGGATCCGTTAGAATGGTCATCGTCAAGATCGCTAGGCCGATCATGCTGCGGATCTATTCGTAGTGATTGGCCCCGTTGCCCGGGGAGAGGTTCTCTTCTTTGTGACCCAGACATGCTAGGTAATATATATGAGCCGGCAGTTGAGTATGGCGAATTTTCATATTCTGTCTTGGATTGCAAAAGTACTGGTGCCTGCTTAGTTTCTGTCTTGGGCCACTGGCCACGCTGTTGGTATCCGGAGCATACAAAACCACCACGTATACAATTATTACCTATAGAATATGAGTCATTTTTACCTAGATTTTTCACTTGGGCTTTAGTATAACAGTTGAACTTACACTCTGGTTTGGACTCATCACACTTTTTTTTCCTCCTTCGACACGTCAAGCAACCAGTCTTGGTCCGATTACTGAAGTTCCTTTTGCGCTTTTTCGGGTCTGCCTGCGAAAATGTTTGTAAATTTCTTTTTTCTTCCACAGTAGGAGTGCTATGACCATTGTGACCATGAGCATCTAGATTCTGTGATGCCCTTTGAAGTACCTCGCCAATCTGCTCATCGGAAGTGAGATCAAGCTGTTGAGAATAATGTGGCATTGCCCAGGCTTCCGAGTCATGAGGCGGTTCGCGCTCCTCAATGGCTGTCATGTAAGGGCGATAAGGAGTCCCAGAAATGAATGTCTCACGGGAATCAGGCTGTAAATGCTGTCGCATAGCTTCCTCGCGCGCAGTTTCCGAATCTCCAAATCCAGTTGTAGTCAAATGTTTTGGTGGCATGCTTTGGTATGGACTATGACTAGTCGAGCTGGAGCGTTTTCGTTTATGTGACCCTTCAGGCTCTAAGTGAGAGGGTTGTGGTTGGAATATATTTCTTTCGCCAGCCGTCGGCACCGTCCAGCCTTCATTGTTATTTAAACTATTCTGGGTAGTAAGCTGTTTTTCGTGATTTAGCGGCGGGCTTCTAGGTTGAATCATTGAACTCTCAATCTGTTCTCTCGCCAGTGTATTATTTGAGTTTGCATTACCAGAAGAATTCACTACAGGTCCACTACTGGAGGCACCTTCTTTTGAGCTGCTATTGACGGCTGTAAACCGAGAGGTGGGTGAGTCGGGCAAAATTATTTCATTATGTTCATCGATGGATGCCATGCTAGTGCTGGTGATAATACAGAGGTGTTCACTAGACCTGTAGCTGCACTAGTTGCGCGAAAACGCGCGCAGAGTACTGGTTGTAAAGTTTTCCTATGCTTTATGTGTGAATTTATTTAATGAAATGATTTCTAAGAATCTCTCAGTCAGGCTGTTGTTTAAGCTAGATGGGCTTTTGCAGAGTTTACCTTTTGTTTCGCTAGCTAAGGTCCAAAACTGAGGATCGTAATCTCTTAAGCCCACTCACTCAAGTTTCAGGTATTGGTAGATATTTGATCTCAAAGCTCAGGATCTGTCGAAGTATGCGAGTTGTTTCTTGAATTCTGATATGTAAAAATTAGGTCGGAAGCCAGCCGCCAGTTTCGCATAGATAACTTTGACTTGTTCCAGGATCGAGAAATAGCTGTCTACTACTGCCTCAAATAGTATGCTGACTAACAGTTTTAAGTCTATTTCTACAATTTAATCGGCGGCAGGGACGGCGCAAGATATTTGCGTTTGTGTTGATAGGTCTTTGTATACGATGAGGGCCTCCACACTTGATTAAATGATCTAACCGGAAGAATCAAGACAATAACAGTTTCCGACGAGGCTGTGAAAATAGTGATGACGCCTTGCACGAGAGAGGACCAAACAAATTAAAAAATTCAGATAAAGGCAGGAGTAGAAGAAGAATTGGATAAGTTAATGATGGTAGAGAAGGATGTAAAGGAATAATGACAGTTCTACGCACACGCGAAATCACGTCCGGCAAAAAATGCAGCTTTCGAGCAGTTGGCGTTTCGGCGGATGAGGCGGATGGGCGGGTATGGAAGGATGTGGGGGAGTATACTTCATGTAGGGGGGACCCAATATATTGACCGCCATCAATCAATTTTAGCGCTGGCACCAGGGCAGCCACAGACGAACTGTGGCCGACCCATTTCCTACATCCATGAAGAGTCATCCGTAGACTAGCTCTTTTTTTTCAGCCCGGGCGGCCTGCGCGTCTATTACGAGAAGGTCAGCAGATTCAAGGGTCAGGGTCTGGGTCTGGGTGATTGATCGAAGAAAATGTCCAGATCATATCCCAGCCCCACGACCCACTCACCAGAAAAAGAGAAAAAAACGAAACTGAAAGTCAATTACATTGTCATGAATCAGCTATTCTCACACTGGAATAGAAATCAGCTCGTATGACATACCGATCTACTATCGCACGACTTTCTCTTTCTCTACGCCTGAAAAGGCCAAAGGAAAGATTCCGCTCCCATGGTACTGCTGTCAAGCATCAGCTAATCCCAGATCCTAGCCCAATCATCCGCTCAATATTTCCCGTCTTGCAAGAACGAGCAGCTAAGCGCAAGGCTGATGAAGAAGGCAGCTAAGGGCGCCTGGCGTACATAAGCACCTGGAGGAGCCATGTCCGAAACGTCGACGCTAAGCGCATGACTTAGCGGCAAGGTGGAGTGTTCAGTATTCGCCGCACCTTCACACTACCCTGGGAACTTAGTCCATCCTGAATAATACCGGCGCATCATGAATTCTGCTATCGGCGACTAGCTAGTACAGACGAATGCCGCCTAGACCCATTTCCCTGGAAGATCCTACGTAGCTTGGTCATCTCGGCCGTTTGAGACGGGAGATCGCTGCTTCGGATCCCGCAGGGACCATACATCACTGCGCGGCTCTTCGGCGGTTAAGATGATACAATCAATATGTGCTGGCCCAAGGCAGGTTAAGAAGGCTTGGTTGTTGGTGAGCGAGTCCCTGCGCAAATGATCTGGAAAGGAATACCGGGTGATGTAACCCACTGCGTGCAAAGGTCTTTAATGCAGCGTCAGTATTTGTCTCATCCGGTGGCAAGAAAAACTAGTCTAGCCACTTTTGGAACTAGACGAAAGAGGAATTAACTGGCTTCACCTAGCCTACCATGAGAATTTTCATATTTATCCCTTCAGAACCCAAGAAATTTATCGGCTAACATACTTTATTTTTGTATTTTGATTTGGCGACAATAGATTTAGTGTGGACTGTAAAGTTTTTCATCATCCTCGCCTGCTTCTTTCAAGCCCGTGTCTGAATCACTTATGCATCGCGCTTGGCTGCTTCTTCGTCTTATGTTTCGACGGAGGCCAAAGGTGGTAACCCAAAACAGCTAGATTCGCGGTTAAAATTAACGATATCGTCCTTGTGTTTCAGACAAAAGTCTCTGCCCCCCCTTCAAATATGAATTACCTAGATATGGGAATACTATAATTCAAGCTCTTGTTACCTCTTCTCTTTTCTAACATCATCTTCATTGAGACCAATGTAGCCCTAGTACACCATTGAGCTCGGATTTTAGCCGTTGACGAGATATTATGAGAATCTCTCTTACATGAGACGAGACATTGCGGCATTCGATTGAAAATGACTCAGCTACAATTCGCGTATTGACCAAAAAAACCAAGATTATGAAATGCCACCGAGCTCATTAAAAACTGTAAAACTTTCTGCTGATATATGTCGGTATGGAAAGGCTGGCTATACGGTGTAACTGAAAATGTATACGACAACGCTTGCGACTACGGTCCAGGGCAAGAATACCTCCAAAAACTAAGCATAACAATGTGTCAAGGGGGATTATTCCACCAACTTGTGTAAACTAAGCTAGTCGGGTCACATGACCTAACTAACAGAACATAGACTTCATCTGTAGCAGCAAGACTCTCTGGTTAACATTTACGACGCTATACCGTGTCCCACGTATCTAACTTAATACAATATAAGGATGTAATTTATATTTGACACTTTTGGCTGCAACTTTATATAAGCTATATCTGTAAAGAAAAAATTTCGTCACAGTGGCGTTACAGTAGCTACAGTTTAATTCCAGGCCTGAAATCTTGAAGTATGGTGTGTGTGTTTTTATTGTACTACTTGAGTCTATGACTATCTTGCATATTGGGCTCCTCTCTGACCCAGGCCACACCTTGTACAGTGCTCCTTGCCTCTTTTGTTACTTGTAAGATCATTTACATATTGCCCATGATGAATAGCCATTCAGCTCAGTATTTACCCGCGGAATTCGGCCACCTTTTCCGCGAAGCCTTCTACCCAAAAAAATAAAAATGGTAGCGATGGAAACTGCGTGCGTGGGAAAAAGTCTCAAAAAACCTGCAGCCCTAGCTAGGGAGGCCTAGACATCAGGACCACATGAGGTGCGCATATTCATCCAAATCTCCCTTCTTTGTAACAGCCGAGGTCGACTTGATCCAATCCACCATCTCCGTATCGAGTGCTGGGTACACTCCGGAAACTCATCGGATGGCTTTTCCTCCATGATCAAGGGTTGGTGATGGGAAGGACTCCGACCCTAAAATCTGATCTGATCGTGGTTAGCTTCATGATAATGGTGATAGGGGAATTTATTGAGAGATGAAGACGATACAGACCGCGAAAGCGTTTGGGAATCCTCGTCGGAGTGAGGAATTTGTTACTCAATCTCGGCATTGTAGACTCTGCAGTGAGAGCTGGAGGTTCGTAGGGGACACCCGTTGTTCCACAATCTTAGAGCGATGGCTACTGTAGATTTTCTTTTGGGCGAATTGACAAATATATTATATTAAGTATATATATCGCAATAACCTCTATCCACTGACTCGTCTCCCAAAGGAACTCCACACCAGAATAGTTTTCCATCTCAGCTCTGACCACCTTTCCTTCTGTGACTAATTCATGACTGATCCAAAGCTCCTTCCTGATCAGTTTCAGGGTTAAGTTTACTCCAAGCAGATTAGGGAACTGTATGCGAGAGTACTCCTGAAGCACCACTGACAGGTGTTGAGAATTGTCCCCCGATATCTTGAAGTAACATGCTCTAAGGCTATGTAATTGATCTCTCTTTGCCCGAACTTCCGCCATGTGAGCCTACAAGAGGTTCTATAAAATCTTTCCTTTGAATAGGATGAACCCATAGTAGGAATCTCTTGGCTAGCTAATTGGATTCTGCACTATTTTAAACTTGTCATTAGGAAGAGCGTTCGCATTATGCCAGCTAATCTAGAGTCTACTCCCCTCTTGTTCCTCTTTCCCCCCCTTTGCCTGATAACAGCCTCGATTTCTCTAATCAACAGAAACTGCTTCTAGAGTTAGACAATGTACTGGACTCATAATAGCGAGTCGAACTACAGTAAAATAATCGTCAAGCTGCTGAGATACCTTTTTTAATCATATTGTACTCAGCTATATAGCTATGTCGATTTCTGTGCCGCCTACAAAATAAATAAGTCATTCAATTATCCTGATTTGGCGCCTCAAGGCCCACGCAGAAATTATTGGAAAATATGCATTTCATGTAGAATACTCATTTTGACATTCGGTACACTCATACCAATACTTCATTGAAAGATACCACTCAGGTTAACTCTTGCGGCATATGACCTCTTCTGTGAGTACCCTCCACGTTGAGTTTGTGTTTACAGTGCTACATGTATCTATGATTATTTAGCACATTGAGTACCCTCCATAGTGAAAAGTATGAATACTCCCAAGCTTGTCCGATTGTTCTTTCGTCACCCTAAAAACACAACGTCACCTCGCGAATGTATGGGGAGAGGGCCACACCGCCACCGAACCAACTTTATATCGCATGGTGTTAAATTGGAGTTTAATTAGCCAGCAGACTTTCAGGGGGGTACTGTCCGGACGGTGTACCACTGCACCATACAGCCAGCTAGGCTACCAATAAACGAGTAACAATAGTCATGATAGCCGATCTATTGTTGAGCAGGAATGAATGGATTTTTATTCGTGATGGGCACGAGCCTGACATTCATAAAGCATAAAAAGGAGAAGACTAGTCTCTCACCGGCGATTAAATACGAGGATAACTCACTTTGAAGTTTGTACTACTCATGTAGTGGGTGTGTTCGCTGATACCATTCGAGACCTTGGTGCTAGGGACTTTCACCCTTACCTTAAGCATTAATATGCACCAAAGGGATAACAGGAAGATTCTTTGGCTGCCCTAATATGCCTTTGTCATCTTGTTTGTAGCCGCAGCACGAGATATGGCTTCCCAGTCCTCCCTTTCTCGAGTGAAGTAGGTGTCCAGCCTATTTGGACTTTAATTCGGAGAGATGACGACCAGGAAGCAGTCAACAACACCTTTTATCGTTGCCTGTATTTAGAATGTCGGTTGCACTATCTGAAATCGTTACCTTGGCGCCCACAGACACCCTTAAGTCGAAAATACTCGAAAAATGTGCGTCCCAGCATGCACATTTGTGACCTCTTCACTCGTTTGTCCAACCTCCCAACCGCCTGTCATCCTTCAAGATGTAAAGCACCATTAGAGCAACAGTCCCCCATAGACCAAGATTCAAACTCTGCATATTATGGTTTAGTTTTCTCCTCGCGGGAAGACATAGCATCGTAACTTTGAACAGAGACATGGCCGACTTTTGATGAGGCAATTTCCCGGTTGCAATTGGAGTAACGCCATTATCGGCAGTTGAGACCAGGTGGTGTAGTAAAATTGGGATTGAGGACTCGGGTGAGATTGGTAGGTCCGACGTTTACGAGAAGTCATCGATTTTAGATGTGCTTGGAGTTGTTTTCGACTTCGATTCAGATGCGATTCTTCTTCGCTATCCCAGATATGCCGAACATACTAGGCAATTACACCAGCACCACTGGAAGGTGAAGAGTTCGTCTTTGCCGACTGATCGTGTGTCATGGTTAGATAGCTAATACTGTACATCAAATTATTTTGAAAAATGGTCTCTGAGGCCATTTTCGGTTGACTGTACCATTAACTAGTGCATCTTTACTTCCATGTCAAATCATTCCAGACTAGATAAAGTTAGCCAAATCCTGGACCCGTCTAGTATAATACAGTGAAAGGCCAGCTTCTTTTGCGATAGTATGAGATAAATACTGACGGTGCATTAAAGACCTTTGCAAGCAGTGGGTTACATCACCCGGTATTCCTTTCCAGATCATTTGTGCAGGGACTCGCTCACCTTCAACCAAGCCTTCTTAAGCTGCCTTGGGCCAGCACATATTGATTGTATCATCCTAACCGCCGAAGAGCCGCGCAGTGATGTATGGTCCCTGCGGGATCCGAAGCAGCGATCTCCCGTCTCAAACGGCCGAGATGACCAAGCTACGTAGGATCTTCCGAGGAGACAGATCTAAATGACCTAGTAACATGCTGTTTGGCTCTCTGAGTGAAAGGATGTTAGATTGAGCCGGACAAAGCATACCGCAAAATGCAAGCGTCGATAACCTTAAAGAAACAGTTCCCACATTTACCGTACAATCATATTAATGCATTCTTTCTTTTTTTTATCAAAAATGCAATTGGTTCAAGTCTGAAGTGTAGCTTCGGTCACTATCATCAAAATCGAAAGTCTTTGGGCCGAGATTTATTCATTGGCGGCAATAAATCGGCCCACTAAGATTTGTTACCAGCTCTTAGCCCACAAAGTTAACCCTTATAAATCACATATTTCTGATGAACCCTTCTCAGATTCACCCTCGCACTGATACTGCATCTTCATTTTCCATCAATTCAGAGAAGCAGAATAGACCTTAATTACTCTGATCGCTTGCACAGTTTACAACTTTATTTTGCAACAAGATTAATCTCACCCTGAGACGAGTGAACACTTTTATGGCGCACACACACAAATCAAAAACATATAACGAGCCACAAGAAGTGGACATCGTCGAGGGTTTTCTTTACTTTCATTTACGCTGGACCAGCACTCATAAGAAAGCAGTTGTCCAACAACCGGAGGTCGGCCCGGACAAGCGGCGCTTGTAGTCTTTGAAAGCATAGCAACGATTAGCTTATCTCCATTACCTAGAGCCCCTTCGAGCACAAGAATCTACTCCCCAACTAAATAGCCACGGTTATTCTAAAGAATTCGGTACTGGCACACATAGTTTCACACTCCCTGCTTGACGATTTATTCATGTGAAGTTGTCAAGCCTCATCCTAAAACACAAACACACTGTGTAGAGACATTAACTCCGAGATTGTGGCTTTTTACTATCTCGGAAGATCAGCATTTGCAGCAAGACTTAATGAACTGCAATTCTTTAACTCTCTACGAGTTTTGGAGCTGAATCTTCAGATGTTTCAAATAAAAGAAAGAACTCTGTTGCGCCGTCTTCATAAACCATTTTAAATGAAGAGATTAGTTTTATATCTAACAACCTCGAAGTCGATACTCATTCTCAATAATCTTATTTTCTTCTATATGTGGGAATAAATAGTACTTGCAAACATCCCATTGCAAATAATACCTCGAGCGGTAGGGATTTGAGAAATCGCTGACATGGGTCGAACTGTCAAGATTCGGGAAAGATAATTAATTGTCGATATACCTGCAAAAAGTTCAATGTCTAATTTTTTTTGCAGGACTTCCAATTCGCCAGGTATAAAAAGATACCATTCCTTTAGAAAACCGTAAACATCGTCACAGACAAGACAACAGGTAGAAAATGGATTAACAATGGTAAAAGCTCTCTCAAATATCCACTGGAATCATAACAGGGCCCAAAACAGTATTTCACTTCATACAAGCATTGAGCGTATCGGTCTGGATTCTTATCTGTACGGAAGAAAATTCCACGGAGTGGCTAATCCAACACACCAGCGTAGATGTTCGTCATAAAGTGTCAGAAATTTGGTCTTGGCATGTCCTCGGTGGGTAAGGGGGTGAGGAGAGGTGCTTCGACAAGCAAAAGATAGGTCCTTGGCAGCAATGTTGAACAGCCTAGATGATATGAAGAGAATCACAAAGTGTATTCTGGCTAAAAGCCGGTTTGAACAGTTCCGGCCCCCAGGAAAAACAGAGATAGCGATATGTAGAAACATGAACCGATGTGGATAAGGATCGGACAGAATTCTTACTTTATGAACAGTGTTAACGCACTTCCTTTAGAAAACTGAAGAAAAACCAAGAGATATGAGACACAGTTTTGAAAGTTGTTTGGAACACTAGTTATGATGATGACCGGACCTGATCTACATAGTCATAGACTTGGACAGGACAATAAAATGAATTAATGGCCGCACCTGAAGGAACCTCACGTAGGCGGTGTAAGCAGACATGACATATTTGGCTAGCGTAGGATGGTAGAACTTCAGTCGTAAAAGATAATTTCATCAGTTAGATGGATAGGAGATGAAAAGAATACCGAACAACGAATCTAACCTGTAATATGATAAATCTACAGTTGTTTGCACACTAACCTAGCTGAGTTATTCCAACAAAATATTTCTACCGAATCAGCTTCTTCGTTTGTGAATATTGTAGCTCGATATTCCTGCATGGGGCCTTAGGGTACCCGAACGGGTTACATGAAAACAAATCAAAAGTAACAATCCTGTAGTTTGGCACGTAAATTTTCGTTATGACTCAAATTAGATTCGGCCATCAGACGTTTATCTACAGGCTGATTATGTATTACCTGTAACTACTACCATCTACAAACCTGTGAGTAAAGTTTTCTCTCGTAGCCAAGTTATATCGAAATTGGCAATGGGAAAGAAGTTGGTAAAATGGCGGTGATTTAAGATTCTTCATCAAATCGATTTCTCTGTCCCAATGAGCTCAATTACCACAAAAGCCTCATCAAGCTTTCAAGTACGACCTCGATTATCCTCATTTCACTGAGCACCCTCCAATCAACTTTTCTCTGGCCTCAGCTGGTCACCAAATACACGCCCTCGCCTATTTTTATACCCGATGTAGGAAACAAAGCGTGGCGCAAAAATCCGAGAGATAATTCTTTGGGATGGACGTGAGAGGAATCAGGACAAGTTTACAAGATGATACAGAGGATAGATATAACCTCGTCAGACGTGAAGTTTTGAATTTTGGCAAGGAAATTTACGAATTGAGCTTTGTGCGAGCCAATACTTCGAGTGCAGGCGACACTATAAAAATAGGTCAAGGAGGGAATGCGCCGTGGATCTCCTCCCGGTGTTGTTCTCTAGTATAGTTTGGGTAGTCTGAGCACATACTCCACTTGATTAGATTGTATTTTATTATATTCCTATCTGAGTCTATGGCTATAGAGGACTCCTAGAATCTATATGAAAGGAACTAAATAGATTTGATTTATTTAACCATAATAACTTTGAATTATTTTCTCGTAGACAGTGAGGAATTCTCTGCTTGACAAAGAGAGGCTTCAGACCACTTTTCTCGCGGAGAAAATTCAACTGATAATGGGGGCATGTCTGGTTAACTCAGGGTTTCTGAGAATTTTTCCCAGGGTGAATATTCACGGATGAGGGTTTACTTGGGGTGGAGGAAAATCCACCGTGACTTCGCAGTGGTAGCTGCAAATGAAGTCCGGGTCATGAATGATCTTCTTTCAAATTGTTTTATCTGCTCTATGCTTTGCCCCTGATATTGAGTCATAGCTTGATTGCTGTATAGCTATACCTGCAATTAAATCTTAATCTTACAAAGGAACCTACGAATGATATGATGTCACAGTGCTAAGATTTGAAGATTTCCCGATAGACTTGTCGGCATGAAGGAGTTCTGTTGGTCGTTTAGACAGAAACTTCGCCTCATAGTTATCCAAGGGCAAAAACTCCAATTAAAAAATGATACCAATTCACAGACTGAGTTGGTCTCGAATTATACTGAGTAGCTTTCCCATCTTTTCATACCACAAGTAATTTCTGGTTCTTTAATGTAAATTGTCCAAGATACAAGGATACTCTTCACTGCCTATTCGGTCTTGTACTCACCAAACTGTCCACCAGCCAGACTAGTAAACTTTGACTCCGAAATATGAAGTGAAAAATAGAAGCAAATACTGAGAATATATTATGATTGGTATATGATTTGGGTATATACACTTGCGCTGGAACAGCTGAGATAGTTTGTGGAGAGATATCGTCATTAATATGCTAAAGTGAAGCTACTATGATAATCATTATGTTACAGATTGGGGGAAGCTCGTCCCTAATCCCCTATCTTGTTCGCTTGTTGATGGATCACGTTACCAGTATGCAACTCACCAAAGTGTGCTCCCAAATGAGCAGCCATGCCACTTGTCCTACATGAATAACTCAACTCTCGTACTGCACACATTACTACTTGTAATATCGTTAGGTAGAGACTGTATCTCCTCCATGCGCCATAATGCTATGCTGACATAATAACTACCCATGCACCAGCTACTAGATCTACCATACTACATAGCTGAGCAGGGGGACTATTCTCAACACCTGTCAGTGGTGTCCCCTACGAACCTCCAGCTCTCACTGTAGAGTCTGCAGAGCCGAGATTGAGTAACAAAGTCCTCACTTCGAAGAGGATTCCCAATCGCTTTCGCGGTCTGTATCGTCTTCATCTCTCAACACATTCCCCTATCACCATTATCATGAAGCTAACCACGATC